AGGATGGATCTAGACTGTTCTCAGTGGTGGCAGATGACAGAACAAGGAGTAATGGTCTCAAGTTGCAGTGGGGGAGGTCTAGGTTGGATATTAGGAAACACTATTTCACTAGGAGGGTGGTGAAGCACTGGAATGGATTACCAAGGGAGGTGGTGGAATCTCCTTCCTTAGAGGTTTTTAAGGCCCGGCTTGACAAAGCCCTGGCTGGGATGATTTAGTTGGGATTGGTCCTGCTTTGAGCAGGGGGTTGGGCTAGATACCTCCTGAGGTCCCTTCTAATTCTATGATTCTATGGGGGCTGACAGAGGGCAGGGGAGGTGGACAGGAGGGGCTGAGTGGGGAGCTCTCAGAAGAGGGGCTTGGAAGCTCGGGGAGTCAGGGGAGAGGAGCCCAGCAGCATGGGGTCCTCCCTCTGCCCTCCTGCTGCCCCGCCCCGGCCTCCTGGGAGGGCAGGCCAGCTGGGCCTGAATCCTGAGACAGGAACATCTGAGCAGATGCGGGACTGGCTTGGGGGTGGACATTGGGACACGGGGCCTGTCCCCTTTAGGGGGTGCCGGCTCGTGGCCCCAGGGCAGGGATTGGCTGGCTCACGGGGCGGGGAATGGGGGACAGGGTCTGTCCCCTCCGGGGGCGCCGGCTCCCATCCGGCCCCAGGTCTGTAGTGACTCCAAGCTGTGACCATCCGCTAGCAGCGGTTTCTCGTCCCCCGGAGGGGTGACCCGGGCTGGGGTCCCTCCCCAGCGTTAGCCGCACTCTCCTCGGCTTCCGCACACCCAAAAGGCCCCTGGCCGGGCGCTGCAGCTGGCATCGCACCGTTGCCATGGTAACCCCGGCCTGCTCTCCGGTGCCCCGCTGAGCCGCTCGCTGTGCGCTCCTGCCCGTTCCCATGGTTACCTCCCCAGGCCAGAGCAGAAGGGACAATAGGGGCTCCCCCTTCGTGGCTGGGGCTCCCCCGCCCTGCTCCTCCCCCGCTGGCTGCGTGGGGCTAGCCGGGGGGCTCAGGGCCTGCCCCTTGCTGGCTGTCTGCAGAGCCCTGGCCCTCCTCCCGGGGGCGGGGACCCCGGCTCAGCATCGCTGTCCAGATCGGCCCCGGGGATCCCCCCAGGCGCCCCACCCCTGCAGGGGCTGACTCTGCTGCGCTAACGGTGTCCCCCTGCCCCCAGCGCAATGAGGCCACCCCGTACCCGCACCCCTCGCACTTCGGCGACACCTTCCACTCCGTGCTGCTCACCTTCCTGGCCCTGGCCTGCGTGGCGGGCGTGGTCATCGCCGCCGCCATCGTCTTCTGCCTGCGCCAGCACGCCAAGCAGCGCGAGAAGGACCGGCTGGCGGCCCTGGGGCCCGAGGGCACCGGGGACAGCACCTTCGAGTACCAGGTAGGGCCCTGGGCAGCGCCGGGGGTGGGGGACACAGCGGGGACTGAAGTCGCCACGGCTCGGCTCGGAGGGGAGGGCCAGGCCCGGGCAGGGGGAACTCCCGGTGCTGGTGGGTGGGGGGTGCTGCGGGCTCGGGGCAGTGGTGGCAGCGCTGGTCTCGCCCCCACCCAGGAGCTGTGCCGGCAGCACATGGCCGCCAAGTCGCTCTTCGGCCGCGCGGACGCCCCCCCGGCCCCGGCTGAGAACTCCCGGGTCAGCAGCGTCTCATCCCAGTTCAGCGACGCCCCCCAGGCCAGCCCCAGCTCCCACAGCAGCACGCCGTCCTGGTGCGAGGAGCCGGTGCAGTCCAACATGGACATCTCCACCGGCCACATGATCCTGGTGAGCCGCGCTGCGGGGGGGAGGGGTGGTGTGTGTGTGTGTGTGTGTGCGCTGCCCCCTGCTGGAGAGGCTGAGCCCTGGGGTGTGTCCCCCCATCCCTGCTGCCTTACCCCTGTGTGTGTGTGTGTGTGTGTGCTGCCCCCTGCTGGAGACGGTGAGCCCTGGGGTGTGTGTCCCCATCCCTGCTGCCTCATCCCTGTGTGTGTGTGTGTGTGTGTGTGTGTGCGTGTGCGCTGCCCCCTGCTGGAGAGCGTGAGACCTGGGGTGTGTCCCCCCCACTCCCTGCTGCCTCATCCCTGTGTGTGTGTGTGTGTGTGTGTGTGCACGCGTGCGCGCTGCCCCCTGCTGGAGGAGATGAGCTCCAGTGGGTGAGTGTGTCTCCATCCCTGCTGCCCTATCCCCGTGCGTGCGCTGCCCCCTGCTGGAGGAGATGAGCCCCGGTGGGTGAGTGTGTCTCCATCCCTGCTGCCCTATCCCCGTGTGTGCGCTGCCCCCTGCTGGAGGAGATGAGCCCCGGTGGGTGGGTGTGTCTCCATCCCTGCTGCCCTATCCCCGTGTGTGCGCTGCCCCCTGCTGGAGGGTGAGCCCACTCGAGGGTTAGGAGCCCTTGCTGTGCTGGTTCTGATGGTGATTCTCTTTTATCTCCCTGTGTTGGGAGCGGAGGCTTCCTTCGTGGGGGGGCCGCGCAGACACCCAGCCTCCTGCGACTGAACCTCTGGGGCTCCAGCCCCCCTGCTTCCCACCGGGCGCTCCGGTCAGCGAGGCCAGCTGAGACAGACCCTGGGCAGAGACTTGCCCACTGTGCCGGGACTGGTGCACCCCAGCCAGGCCGTGCAGTGACTCCCCAAAGAGAGGGGGGGTTCTTAGCCCTCAGGAACCCGGCGTCGGCTGCCCATAGGTTCGCCCAGAGACCGGAGTTAGTCTGTGCTGGTCAGCCCAGCCAGTGCAGCAACTCCCTGTTCAGACTGGCTCTGATTTCCTCCCTTAGCTCCCAGCTGAGAGTCGCCGGCCATCCCTGCTGGGGACTGGGGGCACTCGGGATGGGTGCAGGGCTCAGAAAAGCCTCCTGCTTCTGGGCCAAATATCCCCTTCCCAGGGCTCCCCCCCTGCCCCTGTGGCCTCTTCTCTGTATCCGACCCCAGGGAGGCTGCCCTCCCCGCGTCCCTTCGCCCTGCCTGGGTGGGCACTGCCCTGACCCGCGTGCTGTGCCAGCAGGCCTACATGGAAGACCACCTGAGGAACCGCGACCGTCTGGCCAAGGAGTGGCAGGCACTGTGCGCCTACCAGGCTGAGCCCAGCGTCTGCACTGCCGCCCAGAGCGAAGCCAACCTGAAGAAGAACCGCAACCCCGACTACGTGCCCTGTGAGTGCCCTGCCCCCTCGGAGCCCCCCTCGGCGGGCTGGGGCCCAAAGAGCTGCCAGCCCAGCGGGTGTCCCGCTGGGGTCTGGCCCTAGTTGGAGTGGGCCATATAGGCTGGGGGGGGAATGGGGGTGTGCCGACCGGCATTGCTTGGACAGAGAGAACCGGTTCCCGCCCCCCGAGAGCAGAGCCGTGGGCAGCTCTGAGGCCCAATGGATCCCGGGGTGTGTGGCGCTGGCTGGGGGCTTTCCCCAGCCCCATCTTGCTCACTCACGGCTCCCGTTGTGCGGTGATTTCCCAGACGACCACGCGCGGATCAAGTTGAAGGCCGAGAGCAACCCATCCCGCAGTGACTTCATCAACGCCAGCCCTATCGTAAGTGAGAGCTCGCCTACCCTGCCCCCCAGCCCACCTGCCCCGGAGACTGGGGGCGTTCCTCAGAGCGGGGTTCTCCCCATTACGCTCGTGTACACACCCCTCCCCCCGCCCTGTACCGACACTCGTGCGTGCCCGCTTGCCCGGTGCCACCTGACACGCATCCATTTCCTGGGGGGCCCCCGCGGCACCCCCATCGTGCTGCCGAGGGGAGTGTCTGACGCGCTGTCTCCTGGCCCAGATTGAGCACGACCCACGGATGCCGGCCTACATCGCCACGCAGGGGCCCCTCTCGCACACCATCGCCGACTTCTGGCAAGTGAGTGCCGGCCGCGGGGAGGGAGGCTGGAGGGTGCTGGAGCCGGTACCTCCCCACCCCTGCCTTTGAGGCATTAGCCGTGGCTGGGCACAGCGGGGTGCTGTCCCGTCTGCGCTACCTGGGAGGGGGCTGCGAATCCCTCTCCTGTGAGTGGGGAAACTGGAGGCTCCTTGGAGCGCTGGGTCACAGGGCCTCAGGCAGGCGTGTGTGAGGATGGTGGGTGGGCCGGACCTTGCTGTGCCCTGGCTTTCCTGAGCCGGGGGCAGGGAGGTGCCCAGTCCGGCTGCTGGGGACATGCGGGGGCTGCTCCCCCAAAGAGAGCCCAGACCCCTTTCCAGGGACTCCTGTGGGTCCTCAGCAGGTGCAGGCTGGGACCCCAGGCTTTGGCTGCTGAGTTCTGCCCTCCGCTGGGCTCCTCGCAGTGCCGCCTGGCTCTCCCAGCAGAGCCCCTTTAACAAGCACCCCGAGCCTGGGCCCGGCGCCCGCTGCTGACGGCGTGTGCCCTGCGTGCAGATGGTGTGGGAGAACGGCTGCACGGTGATCGTCATGCTGAGCCCGCTGGTGGAGGACAGCGTCAAGCAGTGCGATCGCTACTGGCCCGACGAAGGCTCCTCCCTCTACCACATCTACGAGGCAAGTGGCGGGGTGGGCGGGGGGCCCGGCCCATGGGGCGCAGCGGGCAGAGCGCAGGCCCAGCTGAGCACGCAGCCCCTGGGACATTGGAGCTGGGGCTGGCTGGGCCGTGACTCCCTGGGCCTCTCCATGCAGGTGAACCTGGTCTCGGAGCACATCTGGTGCGAGGACTTCCTGGTGCGCAGTTTCTATCTGAAGAACGTGCAGTCGCAGGAGACCCGCACTCTGACCCAGTTCCACTTCCTGAGCTGGCCAGCAGAGGGCATCCCCACCACCACCCGCCCCCTCCTGGACTTCCGCAGGTGAGGGGCGTCTCCTCCCAGGTGCCCGCTGCACGGCCTGGCTAGGAGCGGGCCGGGGCGGCAGCCTCAGGGCAGAGGGGCTGGCAAAGCCAGGCCTGCTTCGAGCACCGGCCCGGGCCCTGGGGGCGGCTCTGGCACACGCTGTAGGATGCCCAGTCAGCTGGGGCCCCAGAGGTGAGCAGGGCAGCCGGGGGCCGTGCTCGTGAGTCCCTGGGGGCTCCGTGGGTCCAGGAGGCGGGGAAGCAGGTGTGCCGACTTGCAGAGCTGCAGCTGGGCCAGCATGGGCCAGCCGTGAGACGGGGAGGGACCCTGGCAAGGGCCCTCGTCCCAGTCTCTGCCTTTGGGCCGTGGGGACAGTCCTGGGGCAAAGTGCCCCCGAGCAGCGCTGGCCGTAGGGCCCGGGACGGGGACGCTGCCCTGCCCTGCCATTGGCGCGGGAGGAGCTCTGAACGTTCTGGCAGAGAAAGGGCACGACAGACTTGGCTGCGGGCCAGCTCAGCTCTTCCAGCTGGGGCCGAGAGAGCTGCTCCTTGGGGGATCCCTGCGGGGGAACAGGGGGACCTGGGGGGAGGCCAAAGCCCAGTGTGACCTGGGCCTGTGTGCACAGGGGCCTCCCACACTGTAGCGAAAGGGGGTGTCTCTGGCCCCAGCCCTTCCGGGGTGCTGCATGGCTGGGGGAGGGGCAGGGCTCTGGGGCTCAGTGAGGATTCTGGCCTGGGGGGGCAGTGGAGCAGGCCCTCCTCTGGGATCCCGAGGGCTGGGGTCAGTCAGGACCCCGGGGCTGGGCCAGAGGCGCCCTGTGGCCAGGGCTTTGCTCAGCGCTGTGGGGGCGCTGCAGGAGAGCTAGTCCTGCAGAGGGGCCGGTCTCTGCACTCCAGGCCGCCAGGAGGTGATTTCCAGCCCCCGGCTGCTGGGCTGGGCCCTGGGGGTGTGGCTGGCGGATACTCGGGCCTGAGGCGTATCTGCCCCCGTAGAGACCAGGCCCGGTTCTCGTACCAGCCTCTTGCTGACGGACGGTGCTGCGGGTCTCGGCTAGCTCGGGGCAGGAGTGCGGGCCAGGGGCTGTGGCCGTGGGTTCCCCCCTGCGCTCGCTGTGGGGAGGAGAGTGGGTGTAACCCAGTGCACTCAAGAGCGGGGGGAAGCAGGGCTAGTCATGGGCACCGCCCCACCCTGGCGTCCCTGTGGCGCTGACGGTGTTACCGGCTCCCAGCCGGGATGGCTGGCTTTGGAGAGGCTTCTTCCCCAGGCCGCCCCAGACCTAGGGGTGTGGGTCTGCGTGCGCCACATCACCGCGGGCTGCACCAGAGAGGAGTGCCCCCTGGTGCGCCCCCCTCCTGCTGCCACCTTGGCTCTGGGGAGGGGCTGTGTTTTGAAGCCTCCTGTTGGTTGTGGCCGTCTGTGCTGCCTCTGGGTCCCTCTGTGGGGCAGGGCCCCACAGCCCAGCTGGGATCTCCGCGCCCTCACACTGTCTCCCCCCCTCCTCTCTCTCGTGCAGCTGCCAGTGCCATTTTTGTGATTTGCAGCTAGTAATCTGGGTCCAGTTGCATAGTCACAAAAGTGAGCATTGGCAGCCGTGCCTGCTGCATGGAGCCCGGCCCCCTGGACTCCCACTAGGGCCCCACTTCGGTGCAGGGCGCCGGGCACGGGACAGTGTCCCCAGCCCCCACCCCCCCCCATCTGTGAATGCCCTGCCTCCCTCTGCTGTGCACGGCCTCCTGCAGCGACGCCCCAGCTAGGCCTGTCGGGCGCAGGGACGCCAGCCCTACTCGGCCGGGCACTCGCCCCGGGGCAGGGGGAGTGTGCCCGTCGCTGCAGGACTGACCCTCGGGGCGAGGAGGCTGGGGCAAACCAGCAGGCAGAGCGCATCGCCGCTCCCGCCGCGGAGAGCCCTCGCCCACGTGCGCCTCGGCTCGGGCCTGGCAGGGCAAGGCGGCTGGTCGTTCTTCCCGCTGGGTCGCCAGGCCCCAGGACATGACCCCGTCTGTGCCCCGGGGCAGGGCTCTGCTCTGGAGGCAGGGTGGCTGGGTGGGCGCTGGCTGCTCTCACCTGCTCTCTCCTTGTCCTTGCAGGAAGGTCAACAAGTGCTACCGGGGTCGCTCCTGCCCTGTTATCGTGCACTGCAGGTAACGGCCCCCACGTCCGCGCCACTCGGCCCTGCCCGGGGAAGTCTGGGGGGCCACCCTGCCTGGGGCAGGCTCCATCCTGGAGGGGCTGTCACGCTGCCCCCTCCTCCCTCCACGGGACGCCCCACCCATGCTGGCCTGGGGCCGTTCCCCTGCCAGGGCGGGGGGTGGGGGAGAAGAGCATGTGCAGCACAGTGGGGACCCCGAGAAGCCCGCAGTGGCTCACCGCCCCTGTGCCCTGCTGGGAGCCTGGTGTCGTGTGTCCCCCCGCCCCCCGTGCAGGGGGTTGTGAGCGTCTGTCTCTTCCAGTGACGGGGCAGGCAGGACCGGGACCTACATCCTCATCGACATGGTACTAAACCGAATGGCCAAAGGTGAGTGCACCCATAGCCCCTCCCAGCGTGCAACATGCGGCCCTGGCGTCAGGACCCACTTGGGCCCTTTATCTTGACCAGTCCCCATCCCTGAGCCTCTGCTCCCCATATTGCCTGGGCCTGGCGCCCAGCCCTGGCCCGGCTCTCCCTGGTCCCCCCATGCTCCCCTGCCCTTGGCTTCTGTCCCGATGGCTGTGTCTCCTAGCTCTGCCCCTGGATCCGCTGCTCCGGCGCCCCCTCGTCTGCTCTGCCCCTGGATCCTCCCCTCCGGATCCCCAGCCCTGGCTCCGGCGCCCCCGCTGACCCCTCGTGTGCTCTGCCCTAGGAGTGAAGGAGATTGACATCGCCGCCACGCTGGAGCACGTCCGTGATCAGAGGCCCGGCATGGTGCAGACTAAGGTGCGCCTCTTCCCCCAAACCAGGCCCCAAGCCTGTAGGGGCAGTTCCCAGGGGGTCAGCCACCAGCAGGGAAGGAGCAGGATGCCCCCTGTGGCGCAGTGGGGGGGGGGCCATAGAGCCCTTCTCCCCTCTGCTGCACCCGGCCCCACAGCCACTGTGCCCCTACCCAGGCACTGGCCAGTTCTCCCACCGGGGCCGAGAGCTGGGGCCCCTGGCTTCCTTCTCAGCACAGGGGGCACAATGGGGCTGCCCCTTCTCAGGGCAGCAAGTTCATCTGTTGTGCTGGGCCCAGGCTCTGGGGCCAGCCTCCAGGAAGCAGGGCCCTGGCGCTGGGCGGCCCTGCCAGTGCGCTGGGTGGGCAGCACGGGGGAAAGGCATACAGCCCTGCCCCCTCATGGTGGGCACGTTGTGCTGCTCTAGGGCGGGGCTCACCCTGCTCTCCCCTCCGCAGGACCAGTTTGAGTTTGCGCTGACGGCCGTGGCAGAGGAGGTCAATGCTATCCTGAAGGCGCTGCCCCAGTGAGCCGGTCGCCTCGCCTTCAGCCCCGTCGCGCCCGCCTCCTCCCGGGCGCTGCCCCATGTGCTTCGAGCGCCCGCCCGCTGGGGTCGCTCGCCCCTGTAACGTCGTGTCTGTGATGCTGGTCGTCTACCCTCGCCCCAGTGTGCTGCCCGGCCCGCTGGGGGATGGGGGGCTGCACCAACTGCCCTGAGAGGTTAAGATGGGACTGTGCTGCCCCTCCATCTGCCCCTGCATGCCCAGTGCCTGCCTGCCTCCTGTCTACAGGTGCCCACGCACAGCCCCTGCCCCGGGCTCCTCCTGTGTGTGTGTCTAGTCACACTGCCCCCGCACAGCCCCACGGGTACCCAGGCCTTGCCCATGGCCAGGGAAGGTCTGACCCAGCATGGGGTGGTTCTGAGCTCTGCCAGGAGCCTGCACCCGCTGGGCAGGACGGGTCTTGGAGCAGCCCCTGTCCTTGCTTCTCCTGCCCCCCGGAGCTCTGCTGCTCCGTGCCCCCCCCCACCTGTCTCATTCCCTGGGGATGGACCCTTCCCCCCACACTTCCTGGGGCAAGAGGTGACACAGTTGGAGCAATCCTTGCCCAGCCAAGCGCACCCTCGGGGGTGGCAGCCTGGCTGGGGAACCCTCCCCCCACGTGGGTCAATCATCGTCAATCGAGCAGAAGAGAAATTTCTAGAGAAATATAATTTTGTATCTTGATGTGAATAAAGTTCTCGTGTCGCATTTGTGCAGCTGCAGCCCAGCCTGGCCTGTCTCTGTGGGTATTTCCCTGCCTGGCACCGGGGGGCATTGTGCCCCTCACTTGCCCCCCCACAGGGTGGGGAAGGCAGCACAGACTGAGCCCGGGGCCCATGTGCAGATCCCAGCGCTGCCACCAGCTCTCTCCATGCCTGGCCAGCAGCTGAGAGCTGGGGGTTAGAGAGGGGGGAGGGGCAAGTGCCCCTAGGTACACCCCTGTGCCTACCCTCCCTGGGGAAAACTCTGCTTGAGCCTGGTGCAGCCCCAGCACCTCCGCATGGCGCTGAATGTCCCAGGCCTGGGCGGGCCTGACACCCCCACCTCCACCCCCCCCCCATCCAGGCTGCTCCAGCCAGCCCCTGCCCTCCCCCCTCAGAGAGGCCCCCCTCACACACTGCATCTACTGCAAACGGTTTATTGACTGACAGCAGGGTCCATGCCCTGGGGGGTGGCACAGCCTCACAGCAGCAAGGGAGATGCACCGCAGGGCACAGGCCTTCCACCCCCCTTGCATCCACAGCCTTAGAGCCGCTCCTGCCCAGCTGTGAGGGGAAGGGGGAGGGTGTGGAGTAAGATCCCCTCCCAGGGTGCAGGCTCTGAGGGGGAATCCGCCATCTCTTCCAGCTACAGCCCCCCCCCACAGGAAGGAGCAGACCATTGGGCGGGAGGGGAGGGAGAAGAGACTCCTTGCCCTGGGCTACCTCCACCCCTGCAATCAGGCCTCAGCCCGCTGCCACCCCACCCCAGCCTCAGCAACCCGCAGCAGGGCTGGGCTGGAGGTGTCCTGGGCTCTGGCCCCCCACCCCCCCTCCTACCAGGGCCACCCCGCTCACTGCTCCAGGCCCCTGGCCCAGGCCCCTGCAGCGGTGCCCGGGCCCAGCAAGGCCACAGCCCAGACTCAGGCCAGGGCAAGATGCCCACAGCACACCCGGCCCCCTCCTCCCTAGCTACAGCCAACTACACAGTGCTCAGGAGACCCCCCCACGACACAGCCCAGGGGTACTCAGGGAGGGGGGGGAACAGAGCGATGTCCGGGTGTGACCAGCCTCCCTGGGCGAGTGACCATGGCAGGGTTCCCGCAGCGCGTCCCTCAGAACACACCTGGGGAGACAAGCAGAGGGACGACGGATGAATCAAGCCTGGTGAGCGGGTGACAGCCAGCGCACGTGCAGGCCGGGGCACCAGCACCCTGGGGTGGGGGGGCTCCTCCCAGCCATGTGGGGGGAGGCGCAGCAGGGGGGGTGATGGTGCCCTGAGTGGTCAGCCAGTGGCAGTGGGACAGGGGTTACCTGGGGGGCAGGGGTGGAGGGGGGTCAGGCAGGGGCTGCAGCCAGAGCCGTGGGGGAGGCGGGGGGGGGGGAGGAGAGGAGCAGGATCCACAGCAGCAACAGCCAGGGGGAGAACTAGCCCCCCCACCCCATTACCTTCCATGCAGCATCTGCCCCCCCAGCCCCCTCTCGAGCCCCCCGGCTGGGCCTGCACCCCCCCACCCCAACACCCATTACCTTCCGTGCAGCATCTGCCCCCCCCAATACCCCCCACAGGGACGCCCTGCCCCCCAGACCCCTCTTGAGCCCCCCCAGCTGGGCCTGCACCCCAACCCCCATTACCTTCTGTGCAGCATCTGCCCCCCCCAGTCCCCCTCCGCAGGGACACCCTGCCCCCCAG